CACACACACACACACACATGCAAAGTGTACAGAGCACACACGCGAGGGTGCGCAAGCAAGCAATCATCCCGGAATGCACGCACCTGCATGCACAAACCCTCATAGGCACCACCCACCCACCCACTCCCGATGCCCCCACCACACACACACACACACACACGCGCGCGCGCGCGTGCGCGCACCGTATGTTCTGGTAGGGCCGCCCCGCGTCGTCCACGAAGGCCTCATTGATGGCCTGCAGCACGTCCAGGCCCTCTCCCACAGCCCCAAAGATTGTCCGCCGCTCGTCGAGGCTTGGCGCGGTGTCGCCCAGGGTTATGTAAAACTGGGTTGAGTGTGTGTGTATGTGAGTGTGTATGTGAGTGTGTGTGTGTGTGTGTGTGTGTGTGTGTGTGCAGGCACCTGTGCGTGTGCGATGGAGGGAGGGAGGATGGATCTGGAGGGGCAAAGTCTAGGGGTCTGCGAGGCAAAGTGCCCGGGGAGCGAGGCAGCCGCATGGTGGCCGACAAAGAGCCCCAAAGCACAGCATGCACAGGGCTGCGCGGCTGCCGTCATGGCCGCCAGCTTGCCGCAGCCGACCCTGCGCATACAGTGGGGCTGCACCACTGCCGGGGCTAGGCAGCACGCCAATGCGCGCGCATGGACGCCGCCCGCGCGCCCTCACCTGCGATGCGTTGAGGTTCTTGCCGCCGCTGGCCATCCCCACGAGACCCTTGCGGGTGTGCTTGAGGTGGGGCCTGATCTCATCATCAAAAAAGCGGGCCTGCTCTCCATATAGGATGCTGCGGGGTGAAAATTTGAAAGGCAGAAGTCAAAGGGGATGGGTGTTGAGAGTGTGCACTGTTGCGGCTTGTATGTATGTATGTGTGTGCGTGCGTGCGTGTGTGAGAGAGAGTGTGTGTGTGATTGCACGCGTGCATGCGCAGTTCTCGAGTGCGGATGTGCGAGTCAATGGGGTGAGACATGCTGTGCAAAAAAGTCAACGCATTTGCACTTGAGGGTGCCGCAGGCCGCCTAGCCGCAGCTAGCGTGCTGCCGCGCACGAGCGGGGATCGCAGCATGGGTGGTGCTGGTCGGAGGCCGTCAAGGTGTGTCGACCCCTGAAAAATGTGATAACGGGCACCGCCTGCCTCCCCTCTCGCCGCTGGTCAGCAGAGGACTCACCCCCAAATCGAGTCGCCGCCGCGCCCGGTGCCTGTTGGATCCCCCGTCTGCGCGATGAAGTTCTCTTGCACATTGTGGAAGATGCAGTTATTGTAGTACTTCATCCTGATGCGGGACCAGGGGTCGTGCGAACGCAGGTCGTGCTCTTGCTCATGCTGTGCAGCAAAGCAGCGGCTGCGGGGCTGAGGGAGCCAGGAGCAGGGGCGCTCAACCAACCGCCCTGCCTCACTCCCCACAGGCATGAGGTAATCAGATGCAGTGCAACAACATATGCCATTCCCTAGACGTACTTGCACAGCTTGAGGAAATTTTTGCAAGCCATAGGCGCGTCCTCCACCATCAGATCAATCACGATATCCCCCTTGCTGGTCTCTAAAAGCACCGCCATTGCTGTACGTGCTCCCTGCTTTGCCGCGTCACCGAGATCACCCACGCAGCATCGAAATACGGTGGCGGTACGGGGAAAATGCAAAGAGAATTGCAAGAATGACCTGATAAGCCATTCTCGCTAAAATCTTGGTCAAGATATATCTTACCGACAGAGAGACTCACCTGATCTGAAAGTGATCAGTGTGACCCAAAAGACGCCCCACCGTATCCATCACTATCACCCAAACTTTCCAGATCGGGTTTGCTTGTGAGAATCCGTCGCGCTTTGCAGCGATGGCGCTGCTCCTGCAGCTGCAGGGTGCCCTGCTGCTGGTGGTGCGCTACTTTGCCGACATGCTGCACCTGACCCAGCTGTACGAGCTGGCGTTTGGGGCCTTCATGCGATACTTCGTGGAGCGGGACCTGGTGCCGGACTTTTTGCTGCGCCGCGGCATTCGGCTGCTGCTGCGCAAGCGCCTGGCCGAGGTGTGCAGGGCGAGCAGGCCGCAGCAGTCCACCTGCCCTAATAGCGGCCGGCGCGTCCCGGCGTTACATCGGTCGACCAGACATGGTGCTCCCTTTGAGCCGTAAGGCACCAAGTGCGTGTCTGCCGCCTTTGCTGCGCCGCCGCCCGCGCCACCCACATACACCCCATCTGCATGTAATCGCCCCATCGAGGCCATAGATGCCCCAGACGCTCGAGGAGCAGGTGCAGCACAAGGTGCGCTTTGTGGAGGAGCTCAAGGTGCTCCCAGTGGCAGTGCAGACGGCAGCAGCCAACGAGCAGCACTACGAGGTGCGCCCGTGGTGCGGCGCGACTGTTGCTTTTTGGGGGGGAGAGGGAGCGGGGGCGCGGCTGTTGCTTCTTTTGGGGGGACGGGGGGGAGGTGAGAAGAGCTACTCTCGCGCCTCGCGCGCTGCCGCAGCGCCTTGCAGCAGCGCGCTGCGTCCATGCCCTCGGTGCCTCCCGTTGCGGAAGTCGTTCCTGCTGCCTCCGAGGCCGTGCCCGGCCTGGCTGCTGCGGCGTACTCTGTCGCTTGCTGGCGCACGTGCCCTGGGGGCATCTGATGCTGGACAACCCAGTCCGACCATGGATTTCGAAGTGCGGCGCCCGCCCCCGCCGCATCTCACCTTTGCCCCACCAGCTGCCCACCGAGTACTTCACCGCCGTCCTGGGCACCCACCGCAAATACAGCAGCTGCCTGTACAACAGCCCACGCGACAGCCTGGACAAGGCGGAGGCCAACATGCTAGGTGACTAGCCACGCGCGTGGTGGCGACGCGGGGGCTGAGCACGATGCAGCGGGTGCATGGACGCCAGGGCAAGCGTGACGAGGGGCATGCGGTGGGTCTGTGAGAGCAGGCCCCAGGCAGGACGAACCTAAGGAGTGGATTCAAAAGCGTCCGCACGACGACGCGGCCTGCAGAGCAGCCAGCAGCGTGGTGCCTGGAGCCGCCATGGTTATGGACGTGGGCGGTTTCGATGCACCCGAGAACCGACGACCAACAACACCAAAGCACATTTAATCTGTCAATGCCTCCGTGCCACCTGAACCCCCGCATGCCCTCGCCATGCGCACACACCGCCCCACCCTCCCCTCGCCCTCCTCTCGCACCCCTTGCCCGCCCCCAACGCACGTCCACACATGCAACCACGCGCAGCCCTCTACTGCGTGCGCGCCGGTCTGCGAGAGGGCCAAGATATTCTGGAGCTCGGCTGCGGCTGGGGCAGCCTCAGCCTGTTCGTGGCGCGCGCGTTCCCCGGCAGCAGGGTGACTGCCGTGTCCAACAGCCGCACCCAGCGCGAGTACATACTGCAGCGCGCCCAGGAGTTGGACGTGCGGAACCTGCAGGTCATCACCGCAGACATGGTGGAATTCCAGGTGGGTTCTGGGGGGCCCTGGTGTGGGGCCCCTTCTCCCTTGCTGGGGTCTGGGGGTGCGGGCCGGGTGGTGCAGGGGTTTGGGCAAGGGGTCTGGGCAAAGGCTGGGACGGCGGGTGCACGCGGCAGTTGGGCGGGCTGTGTTTGCACGGGCATGCTTCGGCATCGCTTTGATGATGGCTCGGAGCTTTGCAGACCGTAGGTGCCAAAGTACGGCGGTGTTCGCGGCGGCTGGGCCACTGTGGCTGCGCCGCGCGTGCCGTTGTGGCCGCATTCGCCAGCGGATTACAGGCCTTTAGAGCGTGGCATCCATGCCGGCGAGCGAGGTGGACGCGAGATCCAGGGCGGCGGCTGCCACTCTAAAGAAGAGCGCTGTTCATGACATGTTGCGCGCGCTGAGTATCAACAATCACTATGCTCTCCTTCGGCCCTCCTTCCCAACCGCGCTGGCCTCCTAATCCCTTTGGTCGGCTGCTAACCATGTCCTCACGACACCCATTCGGTGGCACCCCTAGGGGCCCCTTTTCATGACCTCACCAACACCCACGCACACCCAATTCCCCAGGCCACTGCGCAGTATGACCGCATCGTCAGCATCGAGATGTTCGAGCACATGAAGAACTACCAGGAGCTGCTGAGGCGCTGCAGCACGTGGCTGAGGCCGGGCGGGCAGCTGTTTGTGCACATCTTCTGCCACAAGACAAACCCCTACCACTTTGAGGTGGGGTGGGCACCTGCGTGCGTGGGTTTGTTTAGGACAAGGTTGTGTGCACGCGTGCGCGTACATGTTTTGCGTGCATGCATGCGTGTGCGTATGCGATTGCGTGTGTGTGTGTTTGTGTTTGTGTACACACATACATACACACACACACACAAACACACACAAACACAAACACACATAACACACCCCACACATGACAATGAACCACCACTCAACCACCCCTCACCCCCCGCCCCACCCACCGCCCTCCCCGCAGGTCCGCAGCGAGGACGACTGGATGGCCAAGTACTTCTTCAGCGGCGGCACCATGCCCTCCCTCGACCTGCTGCTGCACTTCCAGCGCCACCTGGCGATCAGCGGCCTCTGGTACGTCAGCGGGACGCACTACAGCCGCACCCTCGAGGCGTGGCTGGTCAACCACGACAAGGAGCGGCGCTACGTGATGGGCCTGTTCGAGCGCACCTACGGCCGCGCGGCGGCGCTCAAGTGGTTTGTGTACTGGCGGCTGTTCTACCTGGCCTGCTCGGAGCTCTTCAACTTTAACGGCGGCGAGGAGTGGTGGGCGTGCGGGAGGGAGGGGAGTGGTGGTGCGCGCGGGGCACCGCCGCCGGGGGTGCGTGTGTGCGGAGGATGTGGCAGCGGCCCTCCCACGGGGTGCTGTTGCGGGCAGGACGCTGGCCGCGCGCCCTTTATAAAGCTGTGCCTGCGCGATGCTTTGGCTCATGCCAACTCCCGGCGATATGGCTCGCGCCGTGGCTGCACGCCTCACCTGCCAAGCGCTTGACCGCCTGCACCCCCACCTCGCACGCTGGGCGCCGCGGCGCCCATTATACATGCCGGCCCTTGCTCCTCCACTCTGCAGGGGCGTGGGGCACTACCTGTTCACCAAGCCGCAGGGTCCAGAGGCCGCAGCAGTCTCCTCCCCTCGGCGGCGCGCCGCAGCAGGCGCCGGCGCGAACGGCGCCGGCGGCGGCGCCAGCGGCAGCGTCAAGGCAGCTGTCGCGGCGGCCGAGGCGGGCGCGGCGCAGGCCCCCGCCGCCGCCGCCGCGTCCAGGCGCGCCGCGGCCAAGTGAGCCGGCGCTCATCGGCGCGCAGACGCCGGCACGCACCGGCAGACATGCCGCGGCTTGCGCGCCTGCGTGCGCCCATTTCGTTCTACTGTTTGGCCTGCGTGCCTCGTGTGTTTCCGCCTCACAGGTGCAGGCGTTGAGTTGCCTGGTCAGAAGTTTGTATTATCATGCTCTTGGTGGCGAGCGTGGGGGGATTTCCTTCGTGCAGGCAGCTCGGGGTGAGAAGAGGCAGCTCTTTGAGGATTTGGCCAACGCTGTCCTTGTGCTGGCGGCACCGCCACCCAGCTAGGAGAGCTCGTCGGGCAGCAGGTTGGGGGGTCGGTCAGGCAGGCGCCTCAGAATTCGGATGTGCCTGTTTCTGGGAATGCCCGGCGCCGGGACATGGCTGCGAGCGCGCATGCGCGGGTGCAGCTCGTCATAGCGCGGACAAAGATCTTCCGAGGCATGATCTTCCGAGGAGAGGGTGATATTGCATGTGGTGGAGGACCTCTAGATGGCGCCTGCCAGCCGCGCTGCGTGCGCCACGGCGTTCGGTGCAGGGAGGCTGTTTCTGCAGCTGGGTGTTGGGGGGAGGTGGCTGGAGGTGGCTCCAGCAAACACAGGCCGCCTGTCGGGCGGCGGGCAGCGGTCCTGTGTTGCAGTGTGCTGCACCAAGGGCCCCGACCAGTTTTGTATCAAGCCGAAGCATTTTTTGGTCGTGTCAGGGCGTGGCACTTTTACACCGGCAGGCACACACCCGGAGTGCAACGCACTGCATGTCCCGGTCCTTTCCCGCGGACTGCATGTCTCAACTGTCGGTGAGCATCACTGTATGAGGAACTAAGGCGACGCGAACATTGTACAGGCGGAGAGAAGTAAGCCACTGTCACGCTCGATCACGCCCCTCTGTACGCTCAGTCTGCGAGCAATCGAATAGGACATTTATCAGCTTTCGAGTCGCTTGGCGCAGAGCCATCCACTTTGCACAGCGGGCGTGTGGCCGCGCCAGGGCGCCTCGTCGCCTCGAGGGCCAGCTGCATGCAGCCCGCGGCCTGAGGCCGCGGGCAGCGAAGGCAGCTGACTTTGGAGCATGACGACAGCGCGGGCCTGGCCATGGGCCGCGCTGCGGAGTGCGCTTGCGTTCGCTCTGGCCTCGGCGGCGTTGTGGCGCGGCGCCGCGGCGCAGGTGCCCCTCGTCGGCAAGCCAACCGTGAAGGCCATCAGCGGCGACGCGCTGTCCGACCTCATCCCGCAATTTGCACAGCCCGGGCCGCCCATGATCGTAGAGATCGCAGACAACATCTCGTGGGCCGACGTCGCCGCGCCGCGCCCCGTGATTGTCGCGCGCAACCTCACTCTGCGCGGCATCGGGCGCACCGAGCAGACGGAGCTCAACCTGCACGGGCAGTACGACGCGTGGAAGCTGCAGCCGGGGGTGATGCTGACGCTGCAGAACCTGACGCTCTCCAACCTCGCCGCACGGCCGCCGTCGGCGGACCCGCCGCCGCCGGCGAACGTTTCGGTGTTCACGTTCCCGCTCTGGTTCTTCAATAGCAATAGGTAAACCCACGCGCATGCGCATGTTCGCGCATGCGCAGACGCGCATGCGCCGGGGCGTCTCGGAGCCCGGGCCGCCGGCCCGCGCATCGGCACGGCCGCCCCTCGAGCGCATGCGGCGGGCGCTACTGCTTATGCGCCCACCTGTGCCCCCGCCGCGCCCGCCGCCCTCCGCAGGCTCGCGGGGCAGATAGTCATGCAGAACCTGCGGCTGGTCATACCCTACGACGAGTTTCTGGTGATCCACCATATCTTGGTGGAGTGGGAGCTGCCCAACTCCCAGCCGTCGGCGGTGGACATGTACACGTACTTTGAGATGCTGTTCAGGCAGAACCTGCGCGGCCTGAAGGTGGGGTGCAGACGGGGCTGCCGGGATGGCCTCCAGGCGACAAGGGGGTTGGGGGGCGGCGGCAGCTCACGCAACGTCGAGCGGGCGGCGGTGCTACACGAGGATTCACGGGCGGATGGCCGCCTGCGGGCGACGCGCCGAGTGACGCAGGGACCAGGGCGGCCTCCGCTGATGTCAACCCTCATTGCCGCCTGCCGCGCCGCTCCACGCCGCGCCGCGCCCTGGTGGACCCCTCCTGCAGTGCAACTGCGAGGGCATGCTGTACTCTCCGCGGGGTGAGGTGCACGTGCAGTACGCGGCGGGGCTGGGGGTGGTACTTGACGACGTCTACATGCAGTACAAGCGCAACACCTTTGACATCATCTCGCCGCGGTCAAACATCAGCGCGAGTGGGTGTCGACTGGGCCCCGGGGGTGGTGTGGGGGTGGTGTGGGGGAAGAGGAGAGGGCGCCAGGGCAGGGTGCGGGCGCGGCTGCGGCGGGCGGGGCCGAGGGCCTGCTTGGGAGCCGCAGGGAC